TCATCCTATTAATTTTCAACTGATCATTGTTACCAGCTAGAAATCGATACGAATCGGAGGCTGTCTTGGCGATCACGGCCGTGATGAAACAGCAATAAAGTAAGCGGGCTGCCGCTAACACTTTTCTCAGCGCAGAAATGTTATTTCGGATGCAGCTTCTCGCTGTATAATATATATACAGTGTATGAAACGAGAGCTGGACGAGTACGCGACGGAGAGAGGAGCACACGCTTCCCCCTCCCCTCGTGCGTAGAGGGGGTGGAGGAAAAGAAAAAAAGAGAATGCATGCGTGAACACGTGTGTGAAGGGTGGTATGCGAGTGTTGTGAATGGTAGTATTTTTAATAAAAACGAAGAAAAAAAGCAACAAAAAGTGAACGGAAAAAAAACAAAGTATATAAATATATATATACATATATGAGAAGCCCAACGTGGCACGAGACCGTTCGCCGAGCGACGGTCGCGAGATTCGTAAATCGCGACTTTTTTTATATGCAACCAGTTTGATATAAGGGGGAAACAACAACAAAAAAAAAGAAACTGCAAAAACGGGGAATATACAGGAAACTCTCGAAACACGCCAGTTACCGTCGTCGTTGCGGTCTGGACGATTAAATTATTGTATTATTAATTATACATACATTGTACAAAACAATTTGTCACAAAAAGTATAACGGAGGAGAGAAACGGAAAAGGGGATTGTTTATTATGGGACCCACGATCGATCGAGCAAGCTTGGCTAATCGTGTCGCATGCGTTTGAAACGTATACACTGTTTTATTGTGAATAATGAGTAGGACCTGTTTGTGGTAACCGAGACTTTCGTAAGCGGATTTCACGGAAATGTAGAATTAACTGGGGATATTTGTTTCCTTCGTCGAAGAATCTGGCATGGCAAAAATAAAGGAAACGAGTGTATATTAAACCCTGTTTTACGGTTGTATTTTATTGTTTTACACACATCGATTGAATCTGATAATTATGTAACGCGAAGAGAAACAAGAAGGTTTGACGTGAAGTTCCCAGTACTCTGAGAGTATGAAATTAAACAAAATTGTAAGGATGAATGCTACAAAATACTCGTGAGAATAGATCGAAACAATGTAAACAGAAAGATAAGTTTGTGTAGAACAGGCTGAAGTTCGGGAAAAGATCAATACGATAGTGTTGCACACAGAAAAATCTGACGTGAATTGTCCGGACATGATCAGAAAAACGGTATCGACATTTATTACTCGATTTGTACGGAATCTTCGAGTATTTGTTTAAATTTTAACTTGTAGTTTGCGGGCAATACTCGAGATATATTTTATGATGCACGATTGACAAACATGCTCGATCGTTTTTGGACCACTTTAGGATTTAAAAAAAGATGAAAACATAATTAAACGATATTGCCTTGATTTGTAAATAAAAACTTAATTACTTCCACTAATGAGAATCTTCTCTGCGGATAGCGAGCCGTATTCGGCCCACGCGGGCTCAACCTCCACGATTTCGTATGTTTTTTACTAAAGCCGCGGCTGATTTTTTAACAGCGAGATATTTTGTACAGCGACGAGAACGTGGAATAATAATATTAATAAATAATAATAATAATAATAATAAAAAACGGTGGAGGTGAGCCCTGTTTACGCGTCGTACCAGAAGAATCAGCTATAGAATATGTAACATCTCCCGCCCCTCCGACATGTCCAGTTTGCTCTGTGATTCTGTGTTTAATAAAAAAAAAAACAAATATATATATGTATATTATGTATGTATGTATGTATATGTACATATATGCGTTTGATAAACCGAGTTTTTGGCAGTTCTTGCATGGACCCAATACGAAAGCATTTCCCAATCTAGGTAATAGTACACAAAGTTGTGTTAAAAGGGAATCGAATGATCTAACTGAGCGAAGAAACATTCAATCATCACAAATCTGCAAACTAATCTTAAAGAAGAATACAGTTTTTTTTTTTGCTAGAACCACAGTCAACTACAACCAATTTTCTTTATACAAAGTATCGCCAATCAACATGTTTTTTGGAGGCTAAACAACGTTCCCAAAAGCTACCTATTTTTGACGTCCCAACGAAAAGTGGATGCTGTATTTTAGCAAGTATTTTTCGTAATATTGTACAGTGTTATATAACGATTTTCTGAGGATAAAGTTAATTTCCAAATTGTGGGAAAGGATTGATCGTGGCAATTGTGATCCGTGGAGCCGTTTTCGAAACGAAAACCAATCCTAGTTCTCTATAAGGGTGCTCCTAAAATAAGAAACCGAACTTTGAGTGTATTCTACCTATCACAGTAATAAAAAAGAAACAGCTCCACCAATGATTAATTACCAAGATTTTAAAGTATCTCATTGAGGGAAGTGTTCTTATTGGTTCGCCTGATGAACTACTTCATGGTACTGCAAACACTTATTAAAGTCTTCATTATTGCAAATAATTAAACTATTTTCCACAATACAGTTGTGGTCCACAACTTGTGGAAATTTTCCAAACTGTCAATTGACTTTCGATACGCAAAACTGCTGAAGATATCAGCTTAGAATCACCGTTTATGCGTTGACATTTCGTCCGAAGGCATCCTCGCATACGAAACTCTGGAACGCTGTATTTCAGAAATCAAGCATTTGTAAACCTATTGTGTATGTTTTTTTTGTTGTTGCAATTAGTAGAATGTATTCAGAAAGTTTGCCCTGCGATTTTAGGAACACTCTGTATAATATACACACGCGCCTCTATTCTGATCCGAATGACACCGCGGTATTTAGGTCGACCTGCTCGATCGCGCGCGATTAATCTCGATATTGGATTTCCGTAGGCACCTCGACGTAAAGGGAAATGTCATGACTGACGTTCCTAGCGCTATTAATTTCTGGCGAACCATTGGCTTCGTGGACAGAGGGAATTCACCGCGGGCAGCGATGGAAAAACTGGTCTGACCCGACGAAAGCTCCCATTGTCATGATTCAATTAAATCAAGTAAGGAGTACGGGTAACAATGGTAACGAAAATCCCCCCGACATTTTTACTCTCTACGAATCTGATTGACACTTTTTATTTATTTCAAATTTAAATTTCATTTAACGATTGAATGACTCCGACTGTCTGGATATTTTTTCATTGTAGACCGGACTATCGAAGTCATATCTCTCTCTAATAATGGATGTCCTACTATGAAGTTCGTGCGATATTTGTTTAAAAGGTTATTTCGGTATACATATGCATTTAGTACTGGAATATTTCCCGATTTTTTATTGTATTCATTTAACGTTATAACTGGAAAATTTCGAAATGCATCAACTTATAGGAAAAATTAATTTTAGAATTAATTTTTAATACAGGAACAATTTTGAAAATATCCGTCGCTGACGGGTTATTCGCGCTTGTTTGATTTATGAGTTCAGAGTTGAATTACGTATTACTGAAACGGCCTGGAAACCTTGTGTGAAATTCCAGTCGGCTGTTGGAGTGAGTTTACAGCTTAAGAGTGGTTTAAATATTTAAAATAAAAGATGGATGAACGCGGAAAAGGCATCCTAATTAGGATGATATTAATATCATTAGTCACATTGCTATGGCCGTGTCACAAGGGATCCATCGACAAACACATTCAGTAAACTGCAGTGTCATAAAAAAGATATATTTCATATATGTATACATAAATACGTATATATACGTGTTTGTGTGTGAGATCTTATTGTGGGTCACGATTGACACAAGCACCGGATTTGACAGGTTTTGATGGAACATACGTCGAAAGTTAATGATAATAGTTTCTGAGAAATTATTTATTCAAGTTGTCATGTTAATGAAGTAATAATAACAAAAGAAAATTATAGAATAGAATCCCAGATAGCACATGACGCCTTGAAGACGGCTTAAAAGCGCTTTAAACCTAAAATAGCCGTAAACTGGACGTCTTCAAAGCGTCAGGTGCTATCTGAATAGTCACCTCCCATATCTTGCATTAATATAATAACATCTACATTAATGTTTAAATTTTTGAGAATTTTTTGTAAGAAAGAAACAGGCATTTTTTCACATACGTGTTTTTTTTAAACATAATAGTTTAATGTCCTGCATTGTCTCTTTATCAAATATAAGAATAATATCCTCTCTGCGGCATTAACAATTACAGGTAAACGACACATAAGTAAAATTGTTTATGTTAGTGCTTAAAAATTGAAATTTTCGAATTTTATTTTTCTTAGTTATCGTCTCAAATATTTGAATAAGTATCAGACATATTATATATACGTTTCAATTTTCAATCACCACTAGAATAAAATTATTACTGGCGTTAATGGAAACTCTCTCTAACGCATATTCACAATCAGTTGTTGCATACATGAAGGAATAAGTTCTGCATAAATTGATATGAAAAAATAATCAATAAAACAAGAAATAGAAAATATGATAATCAGAAAAATTTCTCTATTAATTGACATAGTAACTTTCAAATTCCCTAACTCAGCAACGCTACCAACCTTTAGCAATGTGAATATATCTGAGAATGTGTTTTCAAGAAACTTTTTTGGGTAAACATTGGTAGGTTGTAATAACGTGTATATAAAAAACAATAAGAAAAGAAATGTGTTTTTGATTTTATGTGTTATTTAGTTAAACGCCTTTCAAACTGTTTTAGTTTTCCTTCAAAATAAACAAACACATATTTCGTTGTAGTATGTATGTTTTCAATTCAAGCCACGCGAAGTGAAACGAATCCTATATTTCTAACCATAAAAGAGCTGTCAAATGAAACATTCAACGTGAATTATGAATCAGAATTATAGAAATTTTTAGGTGTGTTATTCTAATGACAAAGTAGGTATAATATGATTTAATAAATTACATGAAATATAATTTTATATTGAATATATTTTAATTGTCTATTAACTGTTCAATTTTGGCATAATACAAATGTTTGTAAGCAATATATTTCAAGATATTGTTACAAATTAACATAATTAATGTTTATTTAGGTCCTGAAGGAATCATGAGTAATTTAATAGATGCCCATTGGTTTCCCTTAACATCACAAGGAAATATTTATTCAATGACAAAATTATGTTGTACTAATGGTTCCAATAAAGTATTAGTGGCTTCTTTGAAAAGAAAGATATATACCTGCGAATACCATTTGATGCCAAATTTGCATTTGAGACCATTGGTTAAGGAATTATTGTTTACATACATTCCAAGTTTGTAACTTGAATAACTCAACATTAATCATTTTTAATACATTATTATGTTATTTTAAATACATTCAGTGTAATGTAGGACATATAGGTTTCATGTTACATAGTTAGAGTTATAAGTTGAAATTGTTATTATTTACTTTTCATTAGGTGGTGCAGAAATTATATCAATTGATGCTTATAATAAATCTGATACCAGCGATGGATTTGTGATAGGAATAACAATTATTAAAGTAAGCACAGATACATCTGTAGAAAGATACTTAAACATATATACAGAAGGTGCCACAGATGGAGAGGGAGATGAATGCAGTTCCATTGAAGCTATAGCACAAAATTGTTTAATGGTAGAATTGGCATATACTCCTTATCATTTATACCATACTATACTACCACAACTAAATTCTCACAATGAGGTAAATTTCTAATTGAACATTAATATATTGTATGTAGAACTCCTAAAAGTAGCTTTGAGTATTTAATTCCATTATTGTTGCATAAATCTAAGATAGAGTTACAATTTCCTTCTGATTTTAGGTTGTTTGGTTGTTATCTGGAAGCGATTACAGGATTCATATGATCAGGGAAGATAAACTAAACCATGGTTACAGTGAATCACCAATTGAAAAATATTTCCCTGAGCTGCATGATATTCAGGCAATTTCGTTATGGATTAATATCTACTATTATGATAACTATAACTGGTATAATTTTAAATATTTCTTCATTTAATGAATTGTCATAAATCATTCTGATCTTCACGGATTATGCAAAATTTGAATTCATTTAGGAGACTGACTGTAATTGGTTGTGAATGTGGTTTGGTCAAAGTAGCTATCGTTAATGTTTTAGAACTGAAAGTCCGTCGAAGTTGGAAACTACGATATGACACACCTATCTGCAGTGTATGTGTATTTCCACAACAGAATAACATTACAAAACCTAGTTTCATAAAGCCTAATGGTAAAGCACTAAGTAATTCATAGAGAAGTTGCTTTAATAGTCTGTTAAGAAAAATTTATATTTTTTATACGCATGGCAGGTTCAAAACATTCTTCAAGCAATACAGAAACAAAGTTAAATATTCTTATTGTAAATACATGTAATGCAGTTGTTTTCATGTGAGTATATGAATTTTCTATTCTGTATATGAAAAAGTAATAATCCATTTGTTTTAATTAGGGACATCTTAAATAAGGGAATGGATGAAGACATAAGATTAAATGGTAGTGAAACATCTGACTGCATTTTATGTTCCTGCATTGCTGACATCAACATGGACGGGCAAAATGAAATATTATTAGGAACATATGGTCAAGAAATTCTAATATTTTCATTCATAAATGACACATGGGAATTGATTGTCAGAAAGTTATTCAATGCACCTGTACATTCTATATGTTACATGGACATAACAAATGATGGACTGAAAGAACTTATTGTTCTCACACAACGTGGAGTGCATATATTACAGGTTTATTATTTTTATTTGCACCATAATAGATTAGAATAAAATTCAAAACAATTAAATTGAAAATATAAATTTCAGCATAATATCGCTGACGTAAAAGATGAATGGAAAAAAAGATATCAAAGACTAATCGGAAAAAACAAAACATAATTTGAAGATATAATTTTGAATCTCAATGTGAAAAAGTTCAAATTAATTTTAGTCTCTAAGAAATACTATAGAGAACTTTTTTACTCAAGATCAAAGCTAAATATATATATATGTATGTATGTATGTATATATGTATAATGTCAAAAAGAAAGAATCAAAGTAAATATATTTTTATTGTTACATACTACGTATGTATGGCTGAAAGACAAATAAATTATACTGCAATAACAATTTATTATTAATTCTTATTTTTATCTACATTACACAAATTCTTTAGTGAAATTTTATTTTATTAAGTAAAGCCCTTTATGTGTCCTTCAGCTGCATGAAAATATTTGTATCAATAAGTTTCTCTAATACAGTGAACATAAACATATTCATTTTGAAGGATTGTAAATTACTATATGTATTTTTAAAAATATTTATAGCATTTTCTACCTTTTTACAGATATAAACTAAATCTGCTGATGGATATGATAATACACCTTTGTTTTTTATGTTAATAAAATTGCATCCTGTGTGTGTGTGTGTGTGAGAGAGAGAGAGATGTTAAAGCATTAATACATTCGGTACAATGTACACGTTGTTTTAATTTTCGAAATACAAACCCCGCAATATATGTGATTACCTCGTCTTTATATTCTGTTTGCGATAATAATGGTTGTATATACGATACATAATCATGGTCATTATTGTGTGTTCTAAAAACTTCGAGCCATTGTTGATTCGAATTCGTAGTGGAATTTATTACTGTAGTTAGATTTTGTGTACAAGAGACATTCAATATTGGAATGTCCTGTAATGGAACACAATTGGTACTATTCCGATCTCTATTTCTGTACGAACAATTAATTTTTGAATTGCACTTTTAAACTGCTTTACAGTGGGGTTGTTATTATATCAACCATGAAATCTTATATTACTAAAAATATGTCTATGGCTACGAGCCCATAAACATATACATATAATAGACTGCGCGGTCTTATGGTAGGGATGAAATCGAGACCGAAGGACAGAAGTAGCGCTGGAGCAACTCTCTTTTGCTTGCATATCGCAGAAGGAAAGGCGATAGCGTTTAGAGGCTTTGAGAGGAAGGAATACTTCCCGATGTAATGCCTCTACACAGCCGTAGGAGAATCCCCCAACAGCTCTATTAGAAAGAGAAGCAACTACTCCAGCTATTGCCTTCCTCTCTTGTGCGGACTTCAACCCTCCCATAAGACCGCGCAGTCTATTATATATGTCTATGGACAGATAGTTCAAAATAGTCTGGCACGTGCTCGAGACGGAGGTGTCAAAAGGTGTCGTACGTGTACTTTTACGTCGTGTCTACGCTCGTAACAACACTAATGATCGATATATTACGTTATACTTAGTGAACATTACGAAAGGACTAGCAGCTTGTCCTATTCTTTTTCCCACGTGAATTAGAATGACAAGTAAAAAGGCACACGCCCTTCGAATTGAATCAGAGATCGATAAGAACCGTGAAGAGGGAAATTGGAAAAAGGTTATAGAACTAGCGGAACACCTGAAAGTACAATATCCTAGCAACGGTAAATGTTCTCCCTTGTTATTTTTAAATAAAAATTCCACTTGGTGACAGTTACGTATCGTAACAAACAGATTTCCCGTTTCGTAGGATGTAATGTCATGTTACTGGTTTCGTAACCTGCTTGTGTAAAAAATTCGTTAAGTCACGTCTTGAATTATAAGATTAAAGGCCAAACATAATTACTAGAAAATGAGTTGTTTCATTTTTAATTTTACGATTTCTCGAAATGTTTCCGTTATAAGTTACATTAAAAACAAACTCTATTAGCAATAATTCATCAACAGTCAGTTGATTTTTAAAACTACTAACAAATTGTTTAATAATATCGATATTTTGTTTAACAGATTTTATTACATTGTAAGACTATCTTTAATTCCAATTGCGCCTTAAGATATTTCTTCCATATATTATTATTAAATAGAATTTTAAGTAAAAGAACTCTGTATAATCCAGTTTATAATGCTAAGGTAATATCAGGTTTGTATTGATATATAGAGTATGTAATTTTAACACATACGCTCCAGTTTATATTAATTTGTGAAGATACATTAAACTTGTTAAATAAAAGTTAAATAAAAATGTATCTTTATTTTATAGTGTATAAAATCTGAAACAATTTCTAAACATTTTATAATTGCATTTATTCCAAGGAAGTAAAATAAAAATTCATTTAATTTCAGAATGTTTAGCAAATTTCTTATGCGGCGAAGGAAGATTAGAAAGCTTTTTAGAACAAACTCCACCTATAGATGCCAACATTGGAAAAGCCAGAAATGGGCTGGGGGAAACAAGAAGATATTTGCTTCTTGCGGCAAATGAAAAAGATAAACAGGTGATTATGACAATATTGATTAGGATTAACATGCACTACCTAGTTTGACCCACAGAAGTTTGAACATTATATGGGTATAAGGCAGTGTGACCCACAATGGGTGAAGGTACCTACATATTATGTATTTGCATATTTGTAATAATCATACTGTCACTTTTGATCTTACATTGAATAAACGATTCATAATTTTATATATTGCTGTTAAGGTCTAAATTTATTTAAGTTCATAATCAGAAGAACGAGAATATAATTTTTGTTGTTTGTTTAAGCATATAATTCGTAACAAGGTACATACAAGGGTGGTTGAGACTTACAACTGGGGTAATAAGCTTGGACTTTCTTTGTAAATTTTTAATAATCAATGTGTAAAACTGTAAAACATTGAATTTGTTAGAGTAGATACATGTATGTAATTCAGACAAGGCACAATAATAGAAAAGTACTTGTAACAGTACTAAACACTAGTAAACCCAATATCTCATACCATGGTACTATATAGATATAAAGCATAAGAAATCATGCACCAGGTTGAATATGTCACAGATTATTACTATTGAAAATTTATGTAACACTAAAGTTTAAGATGCATTGTATTTAACGTTTCAGGCTTTAGTTGTGTTAGATGCGCATTTATTACTTGGAAAAGTACACTACGCAATGGGAATGTACGAGGAGGCCTTAAACCATTATCAACAGGCTGAACTACACACACTCACGGAAAAGCATTTGCCTTGTCGAAGTCTCCGTATTATTGCAGAATCGTATGCGATTAAAGGTTTGCATCAGAAATTTTTTGAACTATTTAGTACATTGCTAGTATGTACTAGTGCATTATTATTTCTAATATCACATATAACAGCTTGCCATTTAAATAAAGGAATGATTTATATCATAGTTTGGTGTTTTTACATATTTCACATTAACAATTGTTTTTATTAAATAGTTTTGTACACTAGATTATTAGATTTGTGCTAAGTATTCACAGTATTGTACTCAGTATAGATTTTTTTCACAAAATTTAAAAGACTGCATAATCTTTTTTTTCTTATTGGCAGTCAGTACTAAAAAGAAATCTCATTCATTGGTCTGAGGTAGTACTAAATATAAGTACTGGTATTTCTTTAACGCGATGTTTTTTTTTTAAATATATTTCCTACTTATTTAGTATTATAACCAATATAACTTAGAGAAAGAAAGATTGTTTACTTTAGACACAGAGAAACATTTATCCAGCCGAAGACTGCGCATTATTGCTGAGTCGTACGCGATTAAAGGTTTGTATGTTGCTTCATTTTATTTTCTCTTATTTGCTCTGTGTAAGTGTATCCTATTCTTCTCAACTTTACCTCATTTAGCTATTAGGATGTAATTTTATGCTTGTTACCATGTAAGTTATCTTTCCAATGTGACAGTCCGAATCAAAGCTTTTTCTTAATTATCTTTCGAATGATTTTGTGAACTTATGTTAATTATGTATTCTGTTCTAATCCTACACCTATGCTTAGTAACCGTTTCAACAGTTTAATGTCTGAAACATGAAAGCAACACATATTTTATAAAATAATTTTTCAATAACGTTATGTATGCTTCAATACAGTAAAAAGTAATTTTATTTGTATCCTAAAACTGTGTTTATGAATTTTTACATCTACCTTACATGTCAGAATGTAATATGACAGACTAAATTAAACATTTTACATACTACAAAATATGGCATCTAAAATAAAATTTAATTTCTGTATTTAAGTAGTTTTAAAACATTGTCAAAATAGAAGAAGAAGCTGTTTTTCTACAAAGCTGAAAAACATTATTCCATTAATGGTAATTATATTTTCTCATTTCTAATTAAATTTCGTATTTACTTGTGCTTTTCTCTAGCCTTGCATTGTGATTGCATGTTGCTAATAAAAAGTCTGTTCTGTCAATCTATTAGTCTGTTACATGGTTCTAATTATAATTTCTTATCAAATTTATATCGCACATTTCAATTTGTAATGTATATTTACTTTATAAAGTAATTCAACAAATTTGAGAATATCTTCTCTATCATCATTATGTACATAAATTAGTACAATTTGTGCAAAAGTTTGCAAATTTTAATTGCAGAAATTTAATTTCTAAAAATTCTACAGAATTAAACATACATTTGTTTTAAAGAAAAAGATCGAATTATTTAAAAAATTCGTTTTATAATCGTTGTGACTATAATTTATTAGGTAAAAGAGGAGTATAAGACACAGGTACTATTGTGCATAAAGTTGTCAATACAAACTACGTTCGTGTATAATAATATTTAGTTAACATAGTTTAAGTATTTTTCTTGTAAATAATTAAAAGGAAAACAGTATTCCTGTCATTTATTTCATTTGTTTTATTACAATTGATATAGAGTACCTACATATTGAAGAAAAAAAATGTAATTTCTTGTTCTCTGTTGACTGTGTTAATTCTTTTTATGAACATTTTCATTCTGGTTCTTTTTATTAATTCCTAATAGGTTTGTGTCTGGAAAGGTTACCACCAAATTCCAAGTCAAAGTACAAAATAGCAGAATGGCATGAACAGATCATCAAGTGTTACGAAATTGCTGGGGATCTGACACTGGTATATTTGCAAGAACAAGACAAACTTGCAATGCAACATCAGAATGGCACGTCTACCATAAATAGTAACAATACAGGTGACGTATACTCATTTTCATTTCATTGTTTTCAATTGAACAATGCTAATTAAAACACTTAGTTCTATATTCAATGAATGTATGACTACATTATGATAATCGATAGTAATTGACAATAAATAAGCAAAAGAACGAGAAATTAATGGCTAACATTACAGTTCATTCATTTTGTATGAGTATATTGTATTAACTGAATACACTTAAACCTGTTTCAGGTAATCTTATAAAGTTGTTAGTACACTGTGATAAAACTTTATTAAAAATTTATTTTTCAATATACTTATATCATTCGATTAATAGGTACATACTCTTCTCAGTCTTCGTATTGTACTACAAAACATATTGGGCCAATTTTGGAAACTGCACTCCAAAAGGCACCCATATTATATGTTCAGACTGGAAATATTCAAGCTGCTATAAATCGCTACAGGTAAGTAGTTTATTTCAGTATTTTTCCATATAAAACATTGAATGACTTGACTGTAAAATTAAATAATTTGAAAGGGAAATTTTATCTGCTGTCGAGTCTACTGCGACCCAAAGCTTTCGATTGACTTTAACAAGGCAGTTAGCAGAGATGCTGGTTCGAGGCATATGTGGTGCTGATTATAAAGCACCTGAAGCTCCAAGTGAGACAGCAGGTTGTCAAATACACATTCAAATGTAACATACATGGGTCATTTAAAAAGTTATCGAAATGAAGTGTAGATGATATTAGTAATTCTGCAATTTTTAATTCGTCGAAAATTTTAATTTATTGTATAAATAACTGTAACGTATGAAGTCAGTATATTGCATAGCATTTTCTATACAATTCCTTAAATAAAAGTGCTTTTACGGCATGTACCGCGTCCCGTAACAATCGACGAAAAACAAATTCGAATGCAAGTTTCTTGAACGTGTTTCAAATACGTTGATTCAAGTATATTGATGTGAAAGAAGATTGTATCGAAAAATAGGAATATTTTAAAAACGATCTAAGTTGTATTTCCACTTCACTTTGAGAACTTTTCAAACGACCCGCGTACATACTTAAAACCCACAGTCTACTTATAATCTTTGCTAGTATCATTGTAAGAAGTTGCTACTTAAATAATATTTCTTTAGAGTCGCCATGGAAACCAAAGAGATATTTAGGCCCTAATATGTTTGTGCCAAGAAATGAATATGAGGAAACAATTTTATTGTTACTGATAAGCGAAGCCATGGCAGTCAGAGATGCTGTACTTAGTCAGTCTCCAGAATTTAAAGAAGCAAGAATACATGCTTTCGAGAATGCCACGGCAGTATATGATCTTCTCACAGTAATTGTTATGAGGTGGAGTCAAGTGGACTTACTATATGAGGTTGATATATTTAAGCTTGCTTGTTATTTACAAAATTTGTAATAGTATCCTACAAAACTTACTGAACTTTATATTCTCATAGTCTTTTGAAAGAGCAATGAAATTTTCTCACGAAGAAGCACATGTATGGACTCAATGTGCATTGTGTCTGATCAGTATGGGAAGATACATGCATGCATATAGGGTCTTAAAAATGGTATCAAAGCTATCACCGCAGAAAGTAATGCCGTGTCTTTTAGCTGCAAGATTGTGCTATGAGCAATTGAATATGGTAAACATTGTTTCTTTATTAGCATGTACTAAATAGAGCAATACATTGCAAATTATAAAATAAAATAAACATATTTTAATTACTGGACATAATTTCAAATAGATAAAGGAAGGTATCGAATGGAGTCAAAAAGCACTTCAAAGGGAAACAGCCAATTCACAAGGGATGCAATCTAGGTGTCATCTATACATTGGGATTGGCCATAGTATTCTCTCCGCAAATACTATAGTCAAATTGGATAAAACGTATCATACTAAAACAGCTTTAGAATGTTTTCAAAAGTACGTACATATGAATATAAAACATGGCTTGAGTTAATTATAAAACTTAATATTGTTATATATTTTTTATAGAGCGCAACAATGTGATCCGAACGACCACTTAGCTGAGTATTATTTAGCTCATGAATATGCTATTAACAGACAAATTAATGATGCAATGATTCATGTAAAAATTGCATTAAATCTTCGGGCAGAACACATTCCGTCATTGCATTTATTAATATTATTATTATCGGCTCATAAGCAATATTCAGAAGCATTGCATTTAATCAACAGTGTATTAGAGGAATATCCGGATAATTTAAATTTTCTTTATGTGAAAGCGCATCTTGAATTACGAAGTATTGGCGGTGAGCAAGCGTTGTTTACCATAAGGCATATGCTTATGCTTTGGAAAAATTTATATGAGGATCAAACTAATATTAACTGCAACGAACAACACAGCGAAAAGCGAAGTGAAACTAGAAGTGTCTTTCAACTGTATGCCTCTGAAATGTCTGATAAAGATTCCAGTATGTATTAAAGAAAACAAAATAGGATCACTTTATTTTATTTTTGTAAAGTTGAATGGTTTCTATAAATAGTATTATTTTAAATAGGTTCTCTGCATGCACAGTCACTAGCTGCTTCAAGAGTGGAGCAAGCTCTTTCTGAGGTTGCATCTTCACTTAGCTCTTTTACTCCAAAACCAGGACCGCAAAGAGCATGGCTGTTACAATTACAGGTTTGGCTGTTGCTGACCGAGGTCTACCTGGTCTTAGATCAACCTAATGGTGCTGTCCTTTCTCTACAAGAAGCTACTAATATTTTTCCATTGAGCCACCATATTATGTACACGGTAAGTTTTATAATATTCTCATATATAAAAAGTAAAATAATAGAAATCTTGTATATTTCACGTTATCGAATAAATTAGATATATACTAAAAAATATACTTCCTACTTCAGAGGGGTCTCTTGCACGAATATAAACTGGAATATATGGAGGCAAAACAGTGTTATCAAAATGCAGTATCAATCAATCCATCGCATATAAAGAGTTTACAACATTTGGTAATGTTTTTTTGTACTCATAGTAGTTGCTTCTTTCATACTATTTTATATGACAGTAAAGTATTGTAATAGTTTTATAATAATATAATACTTAATATATACTATAATACTTAAAAATTCTTCGTATTATTAGGGTTTAATATATCACTATTTGGGGAGTCAAAGGTTGGCTGAAAAAACTTTAAGGGATGCAGCGAAAATCGATCCGAATTCTCATCAAACATGGTGGAGTAAAATTTTTCAAAATACGTAGGTAGTTATATTTCTATTGAAATGTATGTTGAATGAAATATTTTTATTTCTGTAGGTACAATTTAGGGAAGGTGTTGGAATCTTTGGGTGAAGTAGAAGCAGCAAGTGATTGCATGGCCACGGCATTGGAAGTAGAAACTACCAATCCGATATTACCGATTCTTTCGATACCAGTTACTTTCGAATGATTCAAAATGTTGATCGTTTAAAAGAAGATTTTAAAAAGGATTACACTTTATTCTGCAACATTGGCATTTCTTCGCCCTTGTGGCAATAGTACCTGCTTACCTCTATTGTTGCACTGTTACAATACTGTATAAACAAATGGATTCATTAAAGAATATTATAACTGTACAAATAATTTAACAACATCACGGTAATAAGTTCTAATAAAGGAACAACTGTGTATCAGAAAACTATTTTTATTCAATAGCCATTATTTTTTATAATTATATTATTTCAAACGCCTTTATTACACAAATATACATTAGATTAGTAATTTATTCATTACAAAAATAAACTAATTCATTTTTATTTATATATAAAGTTAATCAGCATTGAAAATATTTTCCGTCATGTCAACGTCTATTGTAAACGCAACTTCTACAATTCCTAGTTTCTTCTGTTTTGCCATTGATATATATGTATAGTTGCATATCAAATGTTATCGAATATAATTCTGAATATTAAATTATATTAGAAACAATCATAATACGGTCATTTCAAATAAAATTTTTATTTATTCGATATTATCGCTCGGCGGTACGTACTTTTTATAGGATAAGCGAACAAACGTATTGACCCATGTAAATTATATCCGTGTACGCATCGTTATAATTTATTTTGGTAAAAATATTTTTATATTGGATATTGATTGTTTAATGGACATTCCTTTATTATTCTATTAACATTTAAAATTTGATACACATATTTTAATTGAATATTTTTGAAAACATTACATAAAGATCAGGTAACTAAAATAAATTAGAATATCCAGGGTATGCAGAATACAATGCACTGTGTATGTATAACGTTTTTTGAAATATTGATATATTTTATAATAGTGACTTTAATTTTTTGCATATTTCTAATTTTGATAATTCTAATGTAAATTAATTTATCTATATCTGTCACTCATAAAGAAAACTAATAAATAAATGTACACAAATTTTAAATATCACGAAATTAAGGGTTAATACATGACGCAACTATAAATATTCGCAAAAGGAAAAGCAATAACATTGTAGTTACGACATTTGAATTTAAATGATTAGATGTTAAAATATATCTTTTCTTTACATGTTTATTATCATAATACCACAACCGAAAAAGCGTATCACTGTCAAATTAAAATACAACGCAATATAAAATATTAATAGAGCTTTCTTCGATAAAAAAAAAATAATTGTACATCGATCGGACAAGTTTTCATCAAATAGAATAAAAAGTCGATTTCCTTTTTGTCTCCAATCGAATACTTATTAAACCATAGACGTTAATTTAAAGTTGCATCATTTGGTAAATCGAACGGGGGGACAGTTTTTCCGCGGCGTGTCCCCTGCTAAATTAACACCAATTAGACGCTACAATCGATGAACGTAAGGTATAAAATTAACATTCTTTGCCGTGACACCCATTAAATTCCCTTCCTTACCGTTAATCGTGAACGCCGCTGTGCGCTTCTCCATCCCCCGTTCCGTCTCTTTTTAACGAGATTACGATTTTCCCTGTCCTACTCTATCGCGTGTCGCATTGCGCGTTCACCGGTGCGCAGGCTCGCTGCGACCTAGCCAAACGGAGACTTTTTCGAAAAGCCTGCTTAAAAGCGGGCCGGCCCTTTTCAGGGACTACGTCATGAATCCATACTTTCGACGTCCTATCAGCCTGCGAGAGCATCGATTTTTCCTGGTAACGGTGCCCAAAAACGGCCTTCTCCGTGCGGTTAACCCCGCGGAACGTCGTACCGCGTCACGTTTAGCGCATCACGCATCTGCAGAGCTTACGGCTATGCGTAATACAATCGACCAACTATTATCGTCTTACTCCTTTTTTTTCCCCCTTTTCGTGCCGGTCGAACCGGAACCCTACGAAGCCTCCAGAGCTACGGTGCACCGGAACAACAGAAATTTCATGACACGAAGGATATAGGTTAGAATTTCTAGTCTTTCTATAATACACGATTTTTCCAGCATTGCGGACAAAAGGAAAATCTAAGCAACGATGATGATTCATTTGTAGCGAATTCGATCGCGGAATTAACGCATTTATAGCATCTTATAACCTGTGAATCACAGAAAAATGAAAATTTTCTGTTCTAAAAAGTCTGTTTATTGATATCATAAAACCACTAATGTACAGAGAATAAAATTCCGTGTAATTTTCATAGATATGGACCGGTGCCTAATGTAATGAATATACGTAAAAATATGCAGTCTGATAATAATGAATTACGTCGGGGTCTTTTTTGCATGATACAAGTACATACAGAAAATCCGTTCTTCGGTAATGTCATTCTATCTACTAAATGCGTGGCTCACCAGCTCATTACCTTCTGAAATACGCTAAGGCGTCTCATGAGAAGTAATTAACCTCAGGCGAATGGTACTCCACTTTTAACGAATTCGCTTATTATAGCATAGAAATATCCTGATGATAATAGAACCATTTTTCAGCCATTCCCCGTCGTTACGTTGAATTCTACATATTATTCCATCCGTATACTATCAACCCTTGCATCAAAGTAACAAACGACCCATACTCTGAATTATCTGCATAATTATTTATAACTACGAAAACTCCTTATAGTGATTTCTTATTATACATGTATTGACACCTATCCACGGTAAAAGAAAATTCCCGCGCCCTTTACCGATAGGACCAGGTGATTAAATATTAATTAAATATTACTTAGAACTTCGTTAAAATTTTACATAGTAATTTCTTAGTATGCATACTCAGTTTATCAGACTAAAGGTCGTGTGTGTTCCTAACAGGAAACAGGTTAAATTGGTAAAGACCTTTCGACAAAAGAATTTCGTCTACGAGAAATGGGAATCCCCTCTCCTGATAGAATATTTCGCCGGACGGTTCTGCGGCACAAAGCTGCATTTGTGCTCGCATCGACGTCTGCCACCCGCCTTTGTGCCGTGTTTCCCTTTGATAAATTCAAGGTGACCTTGGTACACTTTCGAAAAATTGGCGTGGAGGAACCGTCACTTCCGTCACGTATCTCTCTACGTATGTATACGCGAACGTTCTTTTTTGCCGCACGCATGCTCATCGCTTATTATTGATATCGCGGGCATCGTGCGACGCCGTTACCACATATCGGTCACGGCCACCGGCGAAACTGTTAATTATCTATTAGATACGGATGGAGTTTACGAATATCGATGCCCCAACCCCTGACTTAAACCGAGAAACGAATATCTCGACGTTAAGGGGGCCATGTACTTACTACCCAGAATGGCCCAAAGCGTGACGCGCTTTTAGAATATCTGAACCACAGAGCCAGAGTGTAGTAAGTCCACTTTTCTTAAAAAAATGACATTTTTACACGTTATCCGTAACAACTTTTTCACTCTATAGTGTAAAAGTCCATATCTTGTTCCGAGCCAAACAGTGTAAAGTCCATTACATAGAGGACTGAATGCAATGTTCACCATTTCTATACATCGAGACTTTATTCAATAATTCGAAGGTAGCGATTGTTGAATTTTTACCGAACAGTTCCAAAGGTTTTTGCACCTTTGCTTTGCTATCCTCTAAAGATTAAAACGTGTGACTTTTTAAGGGGGAGTACATTCTGGCTCTGGGGTTCAGATATGCTTTTTTAAATTACATATAAGCAGTATTACATTTTTTTTTCGTCTATTTTGTTGTACACCGTGATGCATTTAGTTTTATCCATCAATGACATTATAGTTTAGTCATCACTCTTCAGAAATTCTGTATATTATAAGTACTTGCTTGACACCTGAAACATATTGTATTCTTGTTGGTCTTACAATTAACATTGTGTATCCTTCTTCGATATTTTCGTGCAGTTTCACTATAGATAGATTTTACCTTATCTGTCTTATGCAAGGAACGATCTCCAGCCAGGTCCTGTCTTCTATATTTATTTAGTTTGTCTTAATTCGGGTGTACTCATTCCACTTGGTTGTATGTTTTATGTACGAAAAATTGTTTGAAGACATTAATCACAGAAGATATTGTTAACAGTGTCGACTACCGGAGAAATTTACGTAAACGCATATGTTTATTAAAAAGTGCCAGCTTCCAAGGAGAAAGTTCAAGACTTCACCAAGAAACTCTGTTCTTTTTATTAAAAGAAGGAAGACAGTTGGAATCTGATAAAAAATTCACTAGAAATAGCCTGATAAATAGCCATGGAAAATTTGAAGTAAGTCAGCGAAGTTGCTTTTGAATTACCTTCTGCGCTGATTCTTAAAATGCAGTTTCAAGGGAACTGCGTCTAAAGTTCTGTAATAAGGCTTAAGCAATCATAACAACGTAAATTTCGCGTGTTACCAAGAGTGATCGATTATCAGGCCGTTATTGTACGTCTTCGGAAGAGGAAGCAGCCTCTTCCATCGACAATTTCTCCTATCTTCGCGACATTTTAGCCTCCCCCCTCCCCCTCGTCTCGGTTCTTCCGCTTGGTATGTTATTTCAGTAAAAAAGAACACAAACAGTAACGCGAGTCGCAATTTCTTGCTGCTAGAATATGGCTGCACATAGCTTTTGAATTTATTTTCCAAATTAAATTATGGGAATAGCACTAGATTGCGGATATTTATGCAAACATGCATTTTTACAAAATCAAACTCATTTCAATAATAAACAATGGTACTTTGAAGTCTTCGTTTGACCTTTCTGAAGTTTGCATTCTAATATGTTCTCGAGAACTCCTCTCGATTATCGTCTGGTTTGCTCTACACGATTATTGTCCAGTCGTTATCCCTACCACTGCTAGGGAGGGGGGGGGGATCATGAAACCTGTCAAGCGCATACTTTATTATCCCTCTGCGTTTCTTGCCGAGGCTCAGGCTTCGGGCAAAAAACGACTTTACGAGAGTCTGAAGCATTTCTTCCTGTAAGATTATTGTCCTGGCGCGGACGTAGTCTACACATTGTAAATCTCGAACCTATTGCGCTTGTCAGATCACCTCTGTAGGAACATTCGCAGACAATCGGGGGGTGCAGTTACAGTAAAAGCCAAAATTAAGTAGACACTTTACAAAGATAAGGTTCGTGTAATACTTCTATAGCGTCCTACTATTGTAAGATCATGACAGTAATACAGTTGGATATGATTTTCTTAACATTTTTGACATAGCAGCCAAAAAATTCGAATCTGCAATCACAAA